GATTGAAACTTTCTGTGTGGCCTGAGTTTATTCAGTCCTCATCATTGTGCAGCCATGTGAACGTATCAAAACGAACAGTCGAAGCACGTCACCCGTAGCAAGGTCAAAGGATCACACACGTCACTCATTCACACACACACACACACACACGCACACACACACACAGGCATGAATTGACAAGCAAATCCCATCCCACCTCCGACCCGAAGTCAAATCTGTCAACTGATAGTGTGTGCTTTACCGACAGGTGCACCAAATCGAACTGAATGAGTTCGAACCGTACGTTTGTACGGATTGTGCGAATACGGTGACGCGCACATGTGCGAACAACGCAGGTCAACGCAAATAATCACGGGCGCGGATTCACACATGCACACACACACACACGCACGTATGAAAACGTGCCACAGTGCGTGCGTGCGTGTGTGCTTGCAAGTATGCGTGTGCGCACACACGCACACACGCTTTGGGCACACCCAACTGACTATTGGCAATCCTGTCAGTCACCCAATCACGCTTGCCCATATCGGTTCTACACCCACCGGACCGGACCGGATTGGTCCTCAATTAGGGTCACCTTAGTTTGTGACCATTCTCACACTGTCGTTCGCCGTTTGTCGCCACCCAGGGGGACAACAAATTTTGTTCGTGTTCAACCCAAAAACCCGAACGACTGCGTTGCGAATTTTAATCATACAAACATACATACAAAAACAGCATAATGATGATAATGACAATATGTTCAAATCATTTGTGGACCGGGCAACCGATCCAGTCAGTATACACACTGACTGGATTCGGTGTGGTTCGGTATGGATAAATCTGAACTATCGGATTTTTCGCCGGATTTTCGCGCAGCCCAACCACGTCACGATGAATACGTCCCCGATCTTGAGGGTTCAATCTATCCTTGTGTTAGTTATGTCCCTGGTCGTCTATGTCGGCCCCGTATGGTGGCCCGTTCCTCGGTGAATAGTAAACTCCTATCCAACACACTGTCCGTGATTTGTATCTCTGCTCCGGACCATACTAACCCGATGCCCAGTATGCAACGCGTCAATCGCATTCCACAGTTGAACCAATCCGCAAACTCAAACACTACCAGTGCGGTCGATGCTCACAGTCCGCACGATTCAAATCCCCCGTTGGGATCGTATCGCAGACGTCCCATTTCCAATCCATTGTCTGCAGGTGGAGCCTCCGGTCGAGGCGCCGAGTCCAGTTCATTCCCGGCTTCGTTCTATCCGGTCTCCGTGGGTGGCGGTGCGGCCGCTGGAGCCGGAACCGCGGGTGGCACGGATGAACGAGCCCAATTGTTAAATATTGATGATCTGCTCATCCGACGTAATCGTCCCACATCAAAAGTATTGTCTCGGGATCGCCACAGCACACGATCCGCACAACCTTTGCCCCCGTTAGTCGTGGTCGGCGGTGCACCCTCTGTCCCACCTGTGATTTCTTATCAGGAAAATGCAATCCAAACACGAATTGAGTGTCCTCCGATAGCGGATCGTAACGGTGATCCGAATGTGTATCAGTGCGAAAAAGAATTGGACGTGGATAAACCCGTGAAACCACCACCGGTATGTGTCTGCGATATTCCGCATTTTATTGGGTGGATGGGTGTGGATTGCTGCTCAACTTGCCTGAGAATTTCCCCGCACTGGTCCCGTTTAATAAAATTTATTCCCGAGTTGGGCGGGGGGGGATCTTACCTCACTGGTTAGTGCTTTGCTTAGAAGGTGCCCAGTGGTAGACACACCGGTGTGGAGAATGTCAAATACAACCGTTATTTTGTATAGGATTCGAAAAGATGTTTGGAAATCGAGACCAATAGTAAAAATTTGATACACCTCAATCATGTATTACCACAAGATACAGAACTGAACAGAAAAAAATGAAATCTAAGTCAATTTTCTTTTCCAAACACCACGTTCCGCTCATTCGACTTGTAGACGATTACGAATTATGCATCGACCGCAAAAATCCAAATGTCTTGCGTTCAAGCCCCCAAATTACCTCACCGAAGTTTCCCATTTTTGACGGTCTCTTGCAGCTTTCTAGCCAAAACGCTCACTACACAATTGTTTGGACAATAGTAACAAGGCAATTCATAGTTGATGATGGAACGTTGCGAAAAAAATGGTAAAACGAATTTTATTCAAGTATACTAAAAAGGTGATACTTCGGGGGGGGGGGGGGGTTTT